TCTGCAGCTTGTGCCCTGGGCTCTGGGTAAGAAGGGGGACCCTGAGTGAGAGGTGGGGCGTCCTTTTCAGAAGGCTGTTTCCTCCTGCTGCTGTACATGTACATCACATCAAGGCCTGACAAAGTGGCCTCGGACACACAGTGGCTTCAGCTAGAACAAGAGGTAAAAACTCCAGAGCCCCTTCTGTGACCTGCTCACCACCCCCCAACCCAACCACCTCAGGGCCTCTGTTTCTCCTTCTTCTGGGGGGAACAGAGCTTTCATTCATTTTGGCAACAAGAGTTTACCTAGATGCTAACAAGGGGAACTCAGTTTGGGGGCTCCACACTACTCAAGCAATAAAGGTGGACCCCAGGGTGTCTTGGAACTTGTCAGAGTGGCCTGAGAACTGGCCCACCCTGGCTCTGGGGCCTGGAGGCAGGTGGGTCTCTGGTGAGACACAGGTGTTGTCCCTGAGTCTAGCCTAGGAAGGTCCCACAGGACCATTTCTTGGACCCCATTGTACAGACAGGCAGTTGCTAAGGCAACGGGAGCACTCGTAGGAGAAGCCTTAGAAAGCCCTCACTGTGATCAGGGTCTCATTCAACCACAGATGGAACAGTCTGTTCTTGTTCTAGGCTGTGTGGCTCCTGGCTAAGCTTGGTGTGCAGAGCCCCTCCTCCCCAGTCACTGGCTCTAACTGCCAGTGCAACGTGGAGGTGAGTGCACGGGGGCCAGCGGCCTGGCAGCTCAGTCGGGGGTGAGGCGACCCTATGCAGGGGGCCCCTGCCCCTTCTAAACCTCATGCCCCCGCTCAGAACCCTCCTCACCTGGCGTGGCTAGGAAGGGTACTGTCCAGCTGAGCAGGTTAGTAGGGTACAAGAGCCCTGAGGCCCGGCCTCAGTCTTTGCCCTCCCTGCAGGCAGTCCGAGCACTCACGGTGGTGCTGCACAGACAGTGGCTGACAGTGCGGAGGGCCGGGGGGCCACCGAGGACGGACCAGCAGAAGCGGACGGTGCGGTGCCTGCGGGACACGGTGCTGCTGCTGCACGGCCTGTCCCAGAAGGACAAGCTCTTCACTGTGCACTGCGTGGAGGTCCTGCATCAGTATGACCAGGTGATGCCAGGGGTCAGCATGCTGATTCGAGGGCTTCCTGACGTGGCAGACTGTGAAGGTAAGCCAGCAAGAGGACCCCTCTCTGTCCAGCCCGCATGCGGTATTTCCCTGAAGTTCAAGGACAGGTTAGACTTCCTGGCCTTAAGTCAGCAGTCTTCCTTCCAGCCTTTGCTGGCGCTGGGGTCCTACTTGCCTTACTGCTCTGGCTCCTCTCTGAGCATAGCAGGCTGCCTTTGCTTGTATCTGTCGAGTTGGCCTGGCAGCCATGGTTTTTCCAGAAACATCCCTGTCTGAATTGCCTTTGTATCACTTTGCTTGCAGTAGCTGAGGGAGCAAGGCCTGGGCGTGGAAGGGACTGGTTAGTTCCCATGGGCGTGGGGGAGGAGCGGTGGGTCTTCCCCCTCGCCCCTGTGCCCAGCACCTCTGGGCCTTCATCATAGAACCCTGTTCTCTCTGCTCAGAGGCAGCCCTGGATGACCTCTGTGCCGCTGAAACCGATGTGGATGACCCTGAGATGGACTGCAGCTGATGCCGCTGAACATTGAGCCACACGGTGGCACCAGAACCACCATTTTCCCCTCCGCGTCATCAGATTAAAAGCAGTGAAGGGTTGAGAACTCCCCAGCCTTGTGATGTTTCCTGAGTCTGACCCCTGTCGCTGAGTGGGAGGGATGGAGCAGGAGCCAGACCCAGGGAAGGCTGATGTCCCTCCTAAGCCTGGCTGCAACTGAGACCTGTCCCCATGGTAACGAATCTGCCCTGAGGAAGGAGCCCGGCCCTGCCCAGCCTGTGGAATTGTCCTGAGTCATCGCTTTGGGCTGAGGCCATGGGAAGAAACCATTGTGCGGCAAGGCAGGAGGCAGCTGGGAGCTGGGGCCTACACCAGGGAGACCTGAGAAAGTGGGGCTAAGGGGAGGTGCACGGTGGCCGCAGCTGGGGTCCCTGGCTGGCTAGAGTCCTGCTGCTAGGCTTTCCTGAAGGGCTGGGCACCACGGCCCTTCTCCTGCCGGCGGGCTTTCATGGCATGAGGGCCCTGATGCATTGTGCCAGCCAGCAGGCCCACAGCTGTAGGTCAGAGGCCTCTGTGGAGTCATGAAGGGGGTAGTACTTGGGGAGGGACAGACCTGGCCAGCTGACAAGCAAGGCGGGCCCCACTCAGGACAGCCCATAGGCGGGCTCACACTAAGTTTCACTTCCCGCCACTAACTGCCGGCAGCAAGAACCAGCCAGACCCCAAGTCATTGCTGCTGCCTGCTGCTCGGTAAGTGAGGACCCCCATGGGGTTGGGGCAGGGTGGGAAAGCCTCACAGCCAACGTAGGCCCAGACTAGGTGGGTGCTAGGGGCGGAGCCAAGCCTTCCCCCAAGACAGCCCTCTCTGGCTTCCTGCCCTGGAAACAGGTCAGGTCCTAGAGCTCACCGACAGTGTGACAGTGCAGGTCTTTGCGGAGAAGGCCAGAGATGTGCTGAGGTGCCCCACCCCACCTGCCTCAGCTCTTCCCACTGGGGCACTCATACACCAACTCCCCACCCCTGCTCCTTCCCAGGCTCCTGGCAGGTACCCAGCATGGGCTCACCGGCCCCAGCCCCGGGACCCGTGCAGACCCTCATTTTCTTGGACCTGGAAGCCACTGGCCTGCCTTCCTCCCAGCCCAAGGTCACAGAGCTGTGCCTGCTGGCTGTCCACAGATATGCCCTGGAGTGCTCACCCCCTACTCAGGGGCCTCCCACAGTGCCCCCACCACCCCGGGTACTGGACAAGCTCTCTCTGTGCGTGGCTCCAGGGAAGGCTTGCAGCCCAGAAGCTAGCAAGATCACAGGCCTGAGCACAGCCGTACTGGCAGCACATGGGCGACTATGCTTCGACGCCGACCTGGCCAGCCTGCTCCGAGCCTTCCTGCAGCGCCAGCCACAGCCCTGGTGCCTCGTGGCACACAACGGCGACCGCTATGACTTCCCCTTGCTCCAGGCGGAGCTGGCTGTACTAGGCCTTGCCAGTGTTCTGGATGGTGCCCTCTGTGTGGATAGCATTGCTGCCCTGAAGGCCCTGGAGCGCGCTGCCAGCCCCTCAGAGCATGGTCCACGGAAGAGCTACAGTCTGGGCAGTGTCTACACACGTCTGTACGGCCAGGCCCCCCCGGACTCCCACATGGCCGAGAGTGACGTCCTCGCCCTGCTCAGCATCTGTCAGTGGAGGCCGCGGGCCCTGCTCCAGTGGGTGGATGCACACGCCAGGCCGTTCAGCACCGTCAAACCCATGTACGTGGTCACAGCCTCTGCTGGAACCAACCCAAGGCCATCTGCCACCACGGCCACCAAAGCCCTGGCGAGAGCCACGGACACTAGTGCCAACCTGGGCAGGGGCAGGAAGCCCAAGGCCATTCCTCCAGTGGAGGGCCCTGGAGCCTCACCCAAGGAGGGACTGCTGGCCCCACTGGGCCTGCTAGCCTTCCTCACCTTGGCACTAGCCATGCTGTATGGGCTCTCCTTGGCCACACCTGGGCAGTAGGCCAAGAGGAAAAGTCTGACCAATAAAGACCCCCTCCCCTCCAGCACCAAGTAGCCACTCACCTCTACCCTCCTTGGCAGCCTTAGAGGAGTCACCTGTACTTCTGCCCACACTCAGGGACCCGGGGAGGGGGACACAGAGGGTGGCAGAAGTCCATCCTTCACCCTCCCTAGCAAGATGGTCAGACATCTGAGCCCAGGAAAGACATGGAAATCCAAGAGTTGCATGAAGACGGGACATGGCCTAATGCCCACTCCCAGCACCCAGGCTCTGAAGAAAGAAGGCGGCAGCCCCAAATATTTGCATTTATTATAAACAAAGTTGCAGACCCTAGACTCTCAGAAACACATCAACAGGTACAAAGCTAAGACAGATCTGGTGAGATATTAACAGAGGGACAGGGAACACCGAGGTATTCGTGTCTGGGCCAGAGCAGCCACCTAGGGCCCCCTTCCACCTTTGGTCCAGATGGCCCCTTGGCCCAGGTGCCCTAGGTGCCAGGACACACTGTGGACTGGGGTACAGGAGCTGGCTATTCTGTGAAGCTGGTGTCGGGAGAAGCAGGGCCTATCAGAGGCCTGATGGTCCCTCTCCACTGTGGGCCAATTTCCTTCCAGGACCCAGGAGGTCCAGCCTCACAAAAACGATCACATACATTTTGAAACAGGAAACAGGCAAAATGTTTGGCTAAAAGGAAAACAAAAACACTGCAGGGCGGACACCTGAGTGTGCAGGTGGACAGAGGCTGCCCTGCTGCCCTGTGGTGGGGGTGGCCAGCCAGGGTAGCCAGAGCCGTGGGTGGACGTGGCCCTCCAGCTGGTCCCAGGGAGGATGTAGGACAGTCCAGGCAGACCGCACTCGTGTGGCCGAGCCTCTGCCTCAAGTGTTTTGGTCTCAGGAGGCTGTCCACCCTCTGCTGGGCATGGCACAGGCTCTGGCACTGTGGGATGTCTGCTTAGCCGGGCCCCAAGCCTCACCCCCATGCCATGATGGCTCTGGTTCCTCGAAGAGTACCCCACACCCTGGGGACAGGCCACGGCCTTGAGCAATGGCTTGTCACTCCGCCAAAACCAGAACACATGGGCAGGTTGTCCACAAAAAGCCTCACTGTCCTGGCATGGCAAGCCCCACCGGCCTGGTCTCCCTGGGACGGTATGGGAAGGAACTCCCAGTCTTTGAATTTTGAGATTTCAAAAGAGCACAATTTCAAGTGAGGAAGAGAATGAAGTAGGGTCCCAGCAACTCTGGCAAGGACTGCTCCCCACCATGTTGGCATCATAAGAAGACTCGTGTACAAACCGGACACAAACACCATGCATGGGGAGAAAAAGACCGTGCCTCCATACCCATCTTCTCTCTCTCTCTCTTTCTCTCTCTCTCTCTCTCTCTCTCACACACACACACACACACACACACACACACACACACACACACACCCCGCAAGGGGCAGCCAGAGAAGCAGGGACATGTTCAGGGAACTGCCTTCGGTGGGTCCATGTAGGCCGGGTTGTAAGGAGGCTGGCTGGCAGGGTAGGGCATGGCCGCACCTCCTGAAAACAGAAGAGGATACCGATTGGTTGTGCACCTGGAGGACTGCAGCACGAGGGGACAGTGGCAGGAGATGTGGGGGGCCAGGTAGGGTTGGCGTTGGCAGTGGTACTCACCAGCCAGTGTCTCGTGGTATGCTGGGGGGCCCATAGGCTGGGCAGGGTAAGGCGGGGGGTACTGTGTCGGGTAAGGTGCTGCTGGCATCCCTGGCTGTGGGGGCATGGGGTGGTAGCCCTGGTACGTCGGTCCTGGGTAGCTGGGGGGCACACTCGGAGGCTGAGGGTAAGGGGTGTGCACCACTGTCGTGGCCGTGGTGGTGGTGACCACCGCTGCAAAGAGAATCCCAGTCAGGACCAAGCCCCCCTCACTCCAGCTTAGCCAAGCCAGGGCCCTGGTCAGCAACACCCCCCTGCCCCTGGGCTCTGCACGTGCGCACCCAGGGTCCCGGGGGGGCTCGGGAGGGGGTGGGCGTGCTTACGACGCGGTGGCCGGCGGCACATCTTATAGAGAGAGCAGCAGGAACAGGTGAAGCAGATGATGACGGTGACAACAGTGAGCACGAAGATGGTCAGGCCGATGGCTACCGTTGCCCCAAACCTGCCAAAAAGCCAGCCGTGACCCAGGGCCTCTCTCACCCAGCCCCACCCTAGCCTTCCACACCCCACCATTCCCAGGGGCACCCTTCTTGCCAGAGGAGACTCTGGGCCACACAGGGCAACTTCCAGGTGGGGCAACTTGAACCTCCTTCTGACCATTTCCTCAGTGTAAAAGGGGGTTGTTTCGTGAGTCTGTATAAAGCACCTCACCCAGTGTCGACCCTTCTTGTGTCCCGCCTCTTCGAGGGTCTCCAGATCACACACCCATCTTGTTCACCCCAACCACTCAGCAGCAGGTCCTCGGGCACGTGGCTTAAGCCAGTCCCTGGGGGCGACACCAACTAGCTCACGGCCCCTAGGAGCCCACACTTCAGTACAGGGGGCAGACGCTGAGGGAGAATGGAAGCACAAGGGACAGAGGCGGGGGAGAAATCCCAGGAGAGCAGAGGCCAGTGTGCCCAGAACAGTGAGGAGAGGCACGCAGGGAACACAGCCCCGCCACTGGCCCCAGAGAGGGGCTACAGGCCCCCCAGAGTGACAGGGAGCCCACTGGGTGCCCAGCACCGTGCCAGGAGTTCGCATACATCCTGGGCTCCCATGCTCTGACCAGAAGGCCAAGTGGGTAAGCAGAGCCAGGTGGCTGATATGGGGGTGCTAGAGCTAAGCTTGCCTTCTGGAAGAGGAGGCCTCCCTGCCTGATGCCAGCCCCTCAGCGAGGACCACAGCAGAGTATAGGGGCTTTAAGAAAAGGCAGACCCAGGGGTGCTTGGGTGGCTCAGTGGGTTAAGCCTCTACCCTTGGTTCGGGTCATGGTCCCAGGGCCCTTGGGATGGAGCCCCACATGAGGCTCCTTGCTCAGCCCGGGGAGCCTGCTTCTACCTCTGCCCCTTTCCCTGCTCATGCTCTCACTCTCTCTCATAAGTAAATAGTTAAAAAAAAAAATCTTAAAAAAAATAAAAAGGGCAGGCCCTGACAGGAAGTTCACCAACATTGACTTTCAAGGGCAGATGGAGTCCCTTGCTCTCCTCCTCTATTGCCAGGGACCAAACCCTAAGAAAAGGCACATGTTTGGTGACAGCACCTGGAATATTTAAACGTGGAAGGAGGGGCACCTGACTGGCTCAGGGGTAGAGCAGTGAGTTCAAGCCCCACCCAAGTTGGGCGTGGAGCCTCCTCACGGCAGGCCCAGGGGAAAGTGGGGCGGGGGTGGGGTGGGCGGGGGGGGGGGGGGGGGGGGGGGGATACCCCACTCCACCCCACCCCACCCCACCCCAGCGTGGAGGGGCTTCCCCTCACAGTCCAGAGGGGCAGCACCATCTCAGCAGGGCCCCACACAGCCCAGGGACAGGCTAGTGACAGACCTTTCACACTGAGGATTCCAAAATACACAACCACATTCACAAACTAAAAGCCACTGATCACTGCGGGTCACCAGCCCGGGACTCAAGCACCTCCCAGACCCGCTGCTGCCCCCAAGGAATGGGGACACGGACACACACGGACACACACACACACACACACACACACACACACACACACAGTATGGCGCACAAGCTCACCCCATGTTAGCTTCCGCCTTCACTCCTGGGCTTCCAGCAGCCCTGGACTTCCCCTATTTCCATCGTGGGCCACTCAGTTCCAAACTCCTCCCCTTTGGAGGAAAGGAAAGCAAATCTTGGCCCTCCCCTATCTCTGACGTCAGCGCAGAGCCCTTAAAGACACAGCAAGGCCCAGCGGTGCCAGGGAGGCCTGGAGCAGGGAGGGAAGCCAGGGCTGTCCAGCGGTCCTCCCAAAGTGGGCCCTGTCTCAGCCTCGCCTGCCCTGACAAGTCTGGCCTCGCACCATGGCTGTCCACCTTCCTGCCCAGATGCTGCCCTGGATCCGAGGTGTGGGGGACGGAGCCACACTCCTGCTCAGCCCACCAGCCCTGTTGCAGCTGTCCTCCTTGATGGGCACCTTCAGCGATCTAGGTCCACCAGCAGCCCTGGGGGCCCCTGGAATGACACACGAGTCCCCTCAGCTTCCCCTCTCCCACCAGCGCGCGCTCCAAGCCACTAGCCTGCCTCGCCAGGATGACGCAGAAGCCTCTTCAAGTGCCTTTGGCCAATCTGCCTGGTCTGATCATGTCACCCTGCTCAAAAGCCTTCTATGGCTCCCGTAGCTCTTGAGATCTCCAGGAGTTTGATTTATAATTTACTTGTTAAACTGTGTATCTGGGGAACCTGGCTGGCTCAGTCGGTGGAGCATGCAACTCTTGATCTCAGGGTTGAGTTCAAGCCCCACACTGGGTGTAGAGATTACTTAAACATTTTTTTAAGTCCTAAAAAAAACCCTTTATGTATCTATGTGTAATTTTCTGTGTGGGGGTGCATATATATATATATATATATATATATATATATACACACACACATATATATATGCATATATAGACACACACACATACATATATATGATAGTTGAAAATGAAAGAAAAAAAATCTATGATTTGTCTCACCAAACAGTAAAACTTAAAATAAGACAAATTTTAATTTTTAGTTAATAAATATTATATAAAACTGATGAATCACTGACCTCTATCTCTGAAATCAATAATATATGTTAACTAACTGAATTTTTAAAAATAAAATCAAAATTTAAAAAATATCTTTAGTTAACAAAGTCTATTAAAATAAAACTTGTGGGGGCGCCTGGGTGGCTCAGTGGGTCATTGTCTCAGGGTCCTGGGATCGAGCCCCACATCAGGCTCTCTGCTCAGTGGGGAGCCTGCGTCCCCCTCTCTTTCTGCCTGCCTCTCTGCCTACTGTGATCTCTGTCTGTCAAATGGATAAATAAAGTCTTTAAAAAAATTAAATTAAATTAAATTAAAAATTAAAAAAATAAAACTTGTGTGGTCTGGAACTCCTACCTCACCGTGTTCTCTGTGCTCTGGCCACATCACCTTCCTTCCAGTTTTTCAAAGCACCATGCTATAATCTGACCTCAGGGCCTTTGCATATATAGTTCCTCCTGCCTGGCCTGCCCTCCATGTAATTAATTCCTGTTCACCCTTCAGAACTCAGCTCAAAATACCACTTCCTTGGGGACATCTCCCCTGACCATCCAGATAAGTTCAGGCTCCTTGATAAATGCTCTGATGGAAGTAAATCCCTGTCTCCCTCAGTTTACAAACATACTCTGTGAGCATTTGATTAACGTGCATCTTGCCTCTAGCCTGTGGATTCACAGAGGCACAGACTGCACCTGCTTTGGTCCATCGCTCTATCTCCAGCACTGAGCACACTGCGTGTGTTCAACAGGGATTTGATGGATGAAAAATTCACACAGAGACCCCATGGGCAGCACCTAGTAGGGCAGCCAGGCATGATGCTCTGAGGAAGGGTAATATTTGAGGGGTGGTTCCAGAGTGTGGTAGGGGCCTATGGTACCCAAGTCCACAGTTCTAGTGGAACCATGCCTCTGAGAGGAAGGAATGGGTTTCCCAATATTGGTGCTACCTCCCAGATCAGACAGTCCAAAGGCCAAGTTCAAAAAGCAGAATCAGGGCATCTGGGTGGCTCAGTGGGTTAAGCCTCTGCCTTCAGCTCAGGTCATGATCTCAGGGTCCTGGGATCGAGCCCCACATCAGGCTCTCCGCTCAGCGGGAGCCTGCTTTCCCCTCTCTCTCTGCCTGCCTCTCTGCCTACTTGTGATCTCTTTCTCTGTCAAATAAATAAATAAATAAAATCTTTAAAAAAAAAAAAAGCAGAATTAGCCCAAGCAGAGAGTGTGCAGGACTGAAGTGTGTGGTTCTAGAAGGCTGAAGACTCCTCGTGTAGGGACTGGGGAAGACCCTCTCTGGAGCGGGGACAACAGCACTTTCACCATCATGCTGGCTAGGCGGTGGACCGGCCATGACCCCGTGGGTGTGAGAGCCGCACAAAGGATGCTGGGAGAGCTGGGACAGGTGTACCACGGCCCCACCGCACCTAACGGACCTGCATGTCTTTCTCCCACACCGTCACTCACAGCAGTCAGGGCCAGCAGCCACCTGCCTGGGGCCTGCAGCCGTGCATTCTCCCACTCAGATGCTGAAACACATGTCGATCCTGCCCAGAAGTAGCAAGGAACCGGAAAGGACAATGATATTAGGGTCCAAAAGAACCATGATAGGGACCAAGGACCCTGTATGCACATGGGGAGCGTACAAGCCAAGAGTGGACACAGACACTGACCGTTCAACAGGGTAGGATGGGGCTCACCCGCCCAAGTTGGGGAGCAGGCTACAGAAGACCTGGGCCAACCTCAGGCCCATAGGCAACACGGCCACATCTAGGGAGCAGAGGGCCCACATGGAGGGAAGACACCACCCATGGAGGCTGTGACAGGCAGAGGAGACCTCCTCTGGGTCCCTGTGCTCTGACCTGGGGCCTCATTCTTGCAGAACCCAAGGAGTTACCCACAGAGGGAGATGTGGGGGGTTTTCTGCCCCCACTGAAGCTTTCCTGGAGCTCCAGCCATGCCTGGGCAGCAGGGGCTGAACCCCACCACAGAGCCAACACTCCAGCAGAGAAACAGTGCCCTTGGCCAACAGGGCAGAACACAGATGTGTCATTGGTGACCCTGCCCTTCTGGCTGCTTCCCAAGCCCTAAACCTGTATAAGGCAGGTACTGACCGAGACACAGGGGCGCTGGCCACAAGGCAGGGAGGGAGAGATGGGGCAGCACGACTGCCGTCACCCACGTTCCCCAGTGGGCAGGACAGCCGGGGTGGGAGGCAGCAGGCACCCCCAGCACACACAGGCGCGTGCACACCTCCCACCAGCCCCCATTCTGTGCGCACAACTCGGGCAGGAACAGGTGCTCCTGTGCTCACACTCAGTCACCTCGCTGCGGCCACCAGCCCCGGCAGCCTCTCCTCCCATGCCCCTCAGGGACCTGGTTCTGCAATGTCCCCTCTGCCCCTCTCTGACCTCAAGTCTCTACCAGCACCCAAGAAGCCCTTCCTCACTCTGACTCCTCCTCCAACTCCTGTCTGGAGTTCGCAGCCCAATGGCTCCCTGAAGCCTCCACGCTCACTTCACCCTACACGTTTCCGGCTCACTATTCAGTCCGCTGCACTGAACGACTCCTCCCAAGGGTGCCACGGCCTCTGTGGTAGGGAGTCCACATTCCTCAACAGCCCACAGCCCACACATCTTCCTCTTTCCTTCTGCTTCTCCAAACCCTCCCTCTCAGCATCTCCCGAGGCCCTTCTTCAAATGCTGCTGACCCTCAGATTCAGTCCTCGGCACACTCCTGCCACCCAACCTGAGCCCCTCACCCCGGCCCCCCTCCTGGTCCCACATCCTCTCACAGGCCTGGACCTCCGGTCCCGTCACCAGGGCAGAGGCCAGGCACTCACCTCTCTGCACCAAGCCTAGTCTCCCTCCAGCCTCCCAATACCTGGGACTGGGAAGCCATGGCTGTCACCCCCTCCCAGCCGCATCCTCCCTGGAGCATCCAGAATGGTCTCCTTCCTAAACACCAGTTAGACCAGCACTGCCCAGAACACTCTACTGTCCTCAGGACAAGGCCCACTCCTGGGCTGCCCCAGGCCCACGCTGGCTGGACAGCAGGAGGTCCTGTGGGGCTGTCAGAAAGCCCACAGTTCTGGGACTCAGCCAAAGAAGGGCGCCCCCTGCGTGCGGAGGGGGGGGCTCATCAGGGTGTCATTCTCCCATCAGCCAAGGGCGCAGGACCCGCCCGCAGACCGGAGGGCCAAGGCCAGGCCTTGGGCTCTGGGGAGGGCCCACAGGCTGTACCTCTTCCCTCCCCGCTCCCGGGAGCCCTGTCCTGATTCCACTGCGGCCAGTGAGACCCCGCACCCACCCAGGCCTGCAGGGCAGAAAGGGCAGGCGCATACCTGGACCCCCATGTGGGCCCGGAGCCCCAAGGGTCCTCCTCCCAAGGGGCGGCCAGACCTGTGCAGATCTCCTGAGAGGGGCTTCTAGACCCACCAGGGCCGAGGCAGGCAGCACGTGGAACAGACCCCACCAGGAAAATACACGCGTGGCTGCACGCTGGCTCCGCCCACGTGAAGGGTGCGTCACAACACCCGTCTCGGTGGCAACAAGACAGAGCAGGAACCTGGCCAAGGGAACTGAGGTTCGGGAGACAGCCTTGGCCCCTGGCCCCTGATAGAAGGGCCCTGACACAGCAACCATGGCTCACAGGCCCTGACACAGGAACCAGGCGTATCAGTATCCCAGTGTCTTTACCACCTGCCCCATCATCGCCCTGTCATGGTCACCACCATCCCCTGCCACCATCATCACCATCACCCATCACAACCATCATCCCATCCCCATCACCACGGTCACACCATCCCTGTCACCGCCATCTCCCCATCCCTGTCACCACCATGTCCCCATCCCTGTCACCACCATCTCCCCTGTCACTATCACCATCAACGCATCACTGTCACCATCGCCCCATCACTGTCACCATCACCATCACCCTGTCACTGTCACCACCATCACCCCACTACTGTCACCGTTGCCCTGTCACTGTCACCATTACACCATCACTGTCACCGTCACCACCATCACCCTGTCACCATCACACCATCACTGTCACCATCATACCATCACCGTCACCACCATCACCTCCATCACCTCCACCACCACCACTCGTTCCCCATCAGTCACCAGTGCCCACCCCATCACCTAGGTCAATATGGACCCCCTACACTTGGCCTTTCAACTGTCAACCACAGCCCCCCATCCCCAGTCCACAATGATGAGGACTCGACTTTCCAACCTAAGGATCAAGGAACCTGTTGGTCAGCTACTCTGGGGCCGCACTACAATGCCTCTGTGGCATCCCAGTCCCCAAAGCCCTCACTCTAGCCCACTGAGACCCTTGTCACCTCCACCAGGAAGAAGGACCCCGCCTGCAGGTTTTACTTACCCTGACATGGGGTCGCTGTCCAAGCTGGAACGGAACCTCAGCGCCGAGCCCAGCTGCTCCAGGGGCTCGGTACCGGCAGACACACTGAAAAGAGAAAGCTTCATGATTGACACACCCAAGCCCCACCCAGCACACCAGGAACAAACACTACCTCAGCACACGCACAAAATGCACAAGAACCAATCCTGTACAGGCCACAGAAGACTCCTCACGGCCTCCTGAGGAGGACTATCAAACTCCCCAGGATCTCAGGCTACAAGGCCACACACTCCTCTCAGGTGTACCCAGAACATTCTCCAGTAGACACTACATACAAGGCTACAAAAAGAGGCTCCATCGATCTGAAAAGATGGGCATCACACAAAGCTATCTTCTCCAACCACAGTGCCATGAAGTTAGAAATCAGCAAAGGAAGACTACTGTGCGACGAAATGAAAAAGGAAATACTGAACATAACTCACACCTTGAGAAACTAACACGCTACCAAAAAAAAAAAAAAAAAGGCAACAAAAATAATGTGCATTAATAAGAAATTATAAGTAAATTAAGAAATATGTAATACAAAAATACAGATTCAAAGGGGCACATGCACCCCGATGTTTACAGCAGCATTGTCAACAATAGCCAAATTGTGGAAAGAGCCCAAGTGTCCACTGACTGATGAATGGATAAAAACAATGTGGTATATCGGGGCACCAGGGGGGTGCCGTTGGTTAAGCGTCTGCTTTTAGCTCAGGTCATGATCTCAGGGTCCTGGGATGGAGCCCTGAGTAGGGCTTCCTGCTCAGCAGGGAGCCTGCTTCTCTCTCTCCCTTTGCCCCTCCCCAACACTTGTGCATGTGGGCACACACACACTCTCTCTCTCTTGTTCTCAAACATAAATATAAAAAAATAAAATCTTAAGAAAAAAAGATGTAGGGGCGCCTGGGTGGCTCAGTGGGTTAAGTGTCTGCTTTAGGCTCAGGTCATGATCTCAGGGTCCTGGGATCAAGCCCCGCATCAGGCTCTCTGCTCAGCAGGGAGCCTGCTTACCCCTCTTTCTCTGCCTGCCTCTCTGCCTACTTGTGATCTCTCTCTCTCTGTCAAATAAATAAAATCTTAAAAAAAAAAAAAAGAAGAAGAAAAAAAAGATGTAGTATATCTATACAACAGAATATTACTCAGCCATCAAAAAGAATGAAATCTTACCATTTGCAATGAAGTGCATGGAGCTAATGTATTATGCTAAGTGAAACAAGTCAGTCAGAGAAAGACAAATATCACATGATTTCAGTCATATGTGGATTTTAGGAAACATTCCTAAAAAAACATCCCTTGTGGGAAGGGAAAAGCAAGAGAGAAGGAAAAAGGGGGCGGCAAACCATAAAAGACTCTTAACTACAGAGAACAAACTGAGGGTTAATGGAGGGAGGTGGGTGGGGGATGGGCTAGATGGGTGACGGGCATTAAGGAGGGCACTTTTTAAAAATTTATTTATTTATTTACTTGGCAGAGAGAGAGACAGCGAGAGAGGGAACACAAGCAGGGAGAGTGGGAGAGGGAGAAGCAGGCTTTGCGCTAAGTAGGGAGCCCGATATGGGGCTTGATCCCAGAATCCCAGGATTATGACCTGAGTCAAAGGCAGATGTTTAATGATTAAGCCACCCAGGCACCCCAAGGAGGGCACTTTTTATGATGAGCCCTGGGTGCTGTATGTAAGTAATGAATCACTAAATTCTATTCATGAAACCAGTATTATGCTATATGTCAACTAACCAAAATTTAAATACAAATTTGGAAGAAAAAAATAAAATTGTGCCAAGTGAAAGAAAAAGAAATTAAAAAATTAGTAAAACTGGGCGCTTGGGTGGCTCAGTTGGTTAGGTGACTGCCTTCAGCTCGGGTCATGATCCAGAGTCCCAGGATCGAGCCTGCGCACTGGGCTCCCTGCTCAGCGGGGAGTCTGATTCTCCCTCTGACCCACTCCCCTCTCATTCTCTCTTTCTCTCTCTCTCACAAATAATTAAATAAAATCTTAAAAAAGAGAGAGAGAGAAATTAGTAAAACCGGATAACAAAAATACAACAGGTTAAAATAAAACAGGTAAAAAACACAGTTAATGCAGTTATTAGAGGGAAATTTATTATCTTTTTTTTTTTTAGATTGATTTATCTCACAGAGAGAAAGAAAGTGTATAGGCAAGAGGATAGGCAGAGGGAGAGGGAAAGAATCTCAACCTGACTACTCCCAGAGCACAGAGTCTGATGTGGGGCTCGATCTCATGACCCTGAGACCATGAGCCAAACTGAAATCAAGAGTCAGATGTTCAACAGACTGAGCCCCCCAGCTGCCTCAGAAATTTATTGATCTTTAAAAGTAAGATGTCAAACTCAAGAAGTTGGGGGATAACTAATAGAGCCAATCCCCCAAATAAGGAAGGGATTAATAAAGGGAAGCACAAAAATAAAAGAGAACAACTACCACAAAAAAATAATACAAAAGATTAAAAAACCCAAAGTTGGCAGGCCCTCTGGCAAGACTCATCAAGGAGAAAAGACAAAAAAAGGAAAAAATGCATAATAAAAAAGAGGAAAGAACTACAGGTACAACAAAGACTTTAAAAGTGATAACTTCAGGGGCAGGTGGATGGCTCAGTTCATTGAGCGTTGGCCTTTGGCTCAGGTCATGATCCCGGGGTCCTGGGATGGAGCTGGCATTGGGCTCCCTGCTCAGCAGGGAATCTGCTTCTCCCTCTGTCTGCCTGCTGCTCCCCCTGCTTGTGGACTCTCTCTGAGAAATAGATGAATAAAATCTTTTAAAAAATTGTTTCCCTCTTCCAAAAAAAAAGTAATGACTTCAGGGGTGCCTGAAGTTGGCACAGCTGGTTGAGCATCTGACTCTTGGTTTTCGCTCAGTTCGTGATCTCGGGGATCGTGGGATCAAGCCCCACACAGGTTCCATGTTCGCTGCAGAGTCTGCTTGAGACTCTCCCCCTTTCCCTCTACCCCTTCCCACTGCCCTCTCCTCTCTCACTTTAAAATAAAGAAACTTTTGAAAAATGAAAAAAAAAAAAGTTATAACTTCATTGGCTAATATCAAAAAGACAAAATACAACACGTACTGTGGAGCATGTGGAAAAGGGGAGCCTGGGTGCACTGTTAATAGGAATTCGAACTGGTGCAGCCACTGTGGGGAAACAGCATGGAGGTTCCCCCCACTGGTTACAAACAGAAATACTATATAATCCGTATATAACCAATTCCACTTCTGGGTATTTATCTGAAGAAAACAAAAATGCCAATTTGAAAAGATATGTGCACCCTTATGTTCATTGCAGAGTTGTTTATAATAGTCAGGAAATGGAAGCAATCTAGGTGTTGATTGGTAGATTAGTGGAAAATGAAGATGGGACATACACACACACACACACACACACACACACACACACACACTAGAATATTACTCAGCCACAAAACAAGAAAGAAATCTTGCCATTTTCCACAACATGGATGGAGCCAAAGGGTATGATGCTAACTGAAATGAGACAGAGAAAGAAATACCGTATGATTTCCCTTCTGTGTGAAATCTAGCAAACAAACCAAAACAGAGAGAGACTCATCAATACAGGAAACAAAGATGTGGTTACAGAGGGAGGGCCAGCTGGGGGATGGGCGGGTTAAAGAGGTGAAGGGGATTAAGAGGTACAAATCTGCGGTCATAAAATAAATAAGCCACAGGGATGTAATGTACATAACAGGGAACACAGGCAGTAATACTGCAGTAACTTTGTATGGTGACATGTGGTAACTACACTGATCATGGGGATCGTTTTGTAACATATGAAAATACTGAATCACTATGATATATACCTGAAACTAACAGAATATTGTACTCAACTAATTCTTCAATTTGAAAAAAAATAACAATAATAACCTTCTTTGGATTCCGAATGGAACAAGCCACCCGTGAGAAGGCACTTTAGAACAAGTGGAGGCAGCTAAAGACAGACTGGCATTGAAAATTACTAATGAATTACTGTTAATTATGCCAAATATAATCATGATTATATTTCTTTACAAAGAACTTGTATATTTCTTTACAAATAACTCTTTACAAAGGACTTGTTCATACAGATGAAAACTAACAATTAAGGAGACATTTTTTAAAAGACTTATTTATTTATTTATTTATTTGAGAGAGAGAGAGAGAGAGAGAGAGAACGCAAGCCGGGGAAGGGGCAGAGGGAGGGAGAATCTCAAGCAGCCTCCCCACTGAGTGCAGAGCCCAACTCAGGGCTGGATCCCAGGACCCAGAGATCATGACCTGAGCCAAAATCCAGAGTTGGACACTCAACCCTCTGAGTCATTCAGGCATCCCTGGGAGAAGTATTTATGATGTTTTAATTTTTATTTTGTTTTAAAATGATCAGAAAAAAAAGGGGGGAGGTATATGGAATAACAGCGTCAGAGTGTTGGTGACTATGGAAGCAGGTGATGGATATGAACAGTTATTATATTATAATTTGATATATAATATATTAATTAAATATAATTAAAATATTAAATTAAATATAATTTTTAAAAAAATTTAAAAAGCATTAGGAACAACTATATCCTAAACTTGAAGGAAAAGTGAAGCTGAGGAGAAAATATTTTTTAAAAACCAGTGTGAAAAAAAAAATAAATAAATAAAAAATAAAAAAATAAAAATAAAAACCAGTGTGCAGGGCGCCTGGGTGGCTCAGTCATTAAGCGTCTGCCCTTGGCTCAGGTCATGATCCCAGGGTCCTGGGATCGAGACCCGCATCAGACACCCTGCTGTGTGGGAAGCCTGCTTCTCCCTCTGCCGCTCCCCTTGCTTGTGTTCCCTCTCTCACTGTCTCTCTCTCTCTGTCAAATAAACAAACAACATCTTAAAAAAAAAAAAAATAGGGGCACCTGGGTGGCTCAGTGGGTTAAACCTCTGCCTTCGGCTCAGGTCATGATCCCAGGGTCCTGGGATCAAGCCCTGCATCGGGCTCTCTGCTCGGCAGGGAGCCTGCTTCCCTTCCTCTCTCTCTCTGCCTGCCTCTCTGCCTACTTGTAATCTCTGTCAAATAAATAAAT